TGTGAGAGAGAGACTCCTTCTCCAACCTCCCAAACTTTCTTTTTATGTGTGCATGGTTATTTGTGCTTGAGCAACATTTTACTTGAACTTTATTTCAATGAAATTAGTTGTAATTATTGTCCTACATTTTAATTTGTTTTACAGAGATGTTTCACAGCTGCCTGGGCCTAGTGGCCCACAGGCGGCGTTTATCCAGCAGCCAGAACATCCATCTGTGCCGGCCCCCAGGTCAAGATCTACCGTGGCTCCAGGGCCTTCACCAGAGCCATCACCACCAAGGACCAACAGACCAGCATCACTACAGCTGCCTCCACCTCCAATCTGCGGCTGCCACCAGGTCAAGATACACCTCAGCACAAAGGCTCCACCACAGCCATCACCTTCAACCCAGCCAGCAAGGAGGTCTCGTATAGCACTTGTACACCCCACCTACACAGCAGCCCATGCACCATCCAGACCCACTGTCTTGGAAGACAGACAAAGACCTTGACACTGTCTTGACATTTATAATGAATAGTTGGTTGAAAGTTCTGATTTTCAATATTGTAAATAGTTAGATTTTCCAGTTTCTTATATTTATATAAATAGTTGGTTGAAAAAAACATATTTATAATAAATTGTTTGTTGAAAAAAAGGTTGAATGCTCAATTTGTATTTGTACACATCACATGAACCTTGGTATGTAATATGAAGTCATTATTCAGTCCTGATGTATCTCAGTCCCTGCTGTGGTGAAAGTAGAGTGATAAACACCTATTTTACTCAAAATTCGAATTTCTCATTTTAGACCTGAATAACACATTTACAGTGGGGCAAAAAAGTATTTAGTCAGCCACCAATTGTGCAAGTTCTCCCACTTAAAAAGACGAGAGAGGCGTGTAATTTTCATCCTAGGTACACTTCAACTATGAGAGAGAGAATGGGGGGAAAGAATCCAGGAAATCACATTGTAGGATTTGTAATGAATTAATTGGTAAATTCCTCGGTAAAATAAGTATTTGGTCACCTACAAACAAACAAGATTTCTGGCTCTCACAGACCTGTAACTTCTTCTTTAAGAGCCTCCTCTGTCCTCCACTTGTTAACTGTATTAATGGCACCTGTTTGAACTCGTTGACAAAATGAGAAAGAAAAAAATGGTAGCCTTTGTTACTTTGGTCCCAGCTCTCTGCAGGTCATTGACTAGGTCCCCCCGTGTGGTTCTGGGATTTTTGCTCACCGTTCTTGTGATCATTTTGACCCCACGGGGTGAGATCTTGCGTGGAGCCCCAGATCGAGGGAGAATATCAGTGGTCTTGTATGTCTTCCATTTTCTAATAATTGCTCCCACAGTTGATTTCTTCACACCAAGCTGCTATTGCAGATTCAGTCTTCCCAGCCTGGTGCAGGTCTACCATTTTGTTTCTGGTGTCCTTTGACAGCTCTTTGGTCTTGGCCATAGTGGAGTTTGGAGTGTGACTGTTTGAGGTTGTGGACAGGTGTCTTTTATACTGATAACGAGTTCAAACAGGTGCCATTAATACAGTTAACAAGTGGAGGACAGAGGAGGCTCTTAAAGAAGAAGTTACAGGTCTGTGAGAGCCAGAAATCTTGTTTGTTTGTAGGTGACCAAATACTTATTTTACCAATTCATTCATTAAATATCCTACAATGTGATTTCCTGGATTCTTTCCCCCCATTCTGTCTCTCATAGTTGAAGTGTACCTAGGATGAAAATTACAGGCCTCTCTCATCTTTTTAAGTGGGAGAACTTGCACAATTGGTGGCTGACTAAATACGTTTTTGTCCCACTGTATATCCAGACAGTATGAGAAAGAAAGAACATTAAAGCATGAAATCATCCAATAGAAACCCAAAACAATGACCCAAAAGTGTGAACATCAAATAATAATATTCTGAAACAAATCAGACACAATGTGAGGCTGCATTAAAGGGGGTTTCTCTGTTGGTTTGGAAGCTCGATTTTGACAATATCTTGGAAAAAAAAGTGTGGATTAGAGTTTGGAGAGAATTTGTGAAGTCTCTGTTCTGATAGTTTACGTCGGACCGTCATGACACAAAAATGCTTTTCTTGCAATTTATACAGACGTCACTGGCACTTTCCTGAAAAGTTTAAAATGTTTTACTTGAGGCATTCGGAAAGGGAAAGTGCTAAAAAAGAAGGTGCTGGGTTCTGCGCTTTTTCCAGCGGTATGCGCTCAGAAAAAGGCTTAATGTGGACACAAGCATTTCAGCCTGTCGTGGTATAAATGGAAGACGAGACAGATGGTACATTTAGAGACTAACTTTAAGGCTATTTGTTTAGTTTATCACCATTACTGTTGTTTCTAGAAAATGTACCTGGGCAACAGATGCTCAATGCTCTTCCAATGAAGCAAATGCAAGAAAAGTGAAGAATGGAAAAAAGGGAGGTTATAAAATTCCACAAGGTGCTGTCAGTGTTACTGCAAGGCAAGTGTATTTATATAGCACCTTTCAACACAAGGTGCTATATAAAAATGAACAACATTAAGAGCATTAAGAAATATTGCATTTAAAAACAGATATTAAAATGGAAAGAGAATATGAAAACATAAGTATACAATACATGAATAAAAGTTACAGTGCAGCGTAATTAAAAGCAGCAGCAAAAAGAAAGTCTTCAGTCTGGATAGAGTAAGACAGGAAGAAAAGTTATCTAAAAATCCCACTAAAATGATTCAAACATATTCCTGCCCACACATGCGGAAACCTCAACCATTACTTTGGACTTCTCTTCTGTAATAAGTAATAAGTGTTTACATTTAAATTCTGCTCCCATTTTCCTCTGCAATGATATCTGGAGACGGCAGTAAGTGACTCATTACTAATGGAAATATCTGAGAGAGATAGATGACATTGGAGATGGAGACTGAAGTGGAAGTTTCTAAATGTGCCTCATGACAAATGGAAACAATCTGAGTTTACCTCATTGCAGCGCAAATATTTGGTAATTAGTTGAATTTGACTATTTTCTTCCCCCTTGGACTACCACTCCTTCTCCCCCCCGCTCATTCCCTCCCTCCCCGCTCATTCCCTCCCTCCCCGCTCATTCCCTCCCTCATTCCCTCCCTCCCTCATTCCCTCCCTCCCTCATTCCCTCCCTCCTCTACCCACAGCGTCTCTGTGTAAAGGTGGTTTAGCTGCTCAGAGTAGAGTTGGAGAGACGTCTACTGGTGAAAATGTAGTAACACAGATTATATACTGTAAAGAGAGACCATTGTAAAATTAATATAAATAATAATTTAATTAATATAGCTATATTTTCAAAAAGGTCTTATATTGTGTTTTTCTGTCCTTTTTTAAAATCTGAATCTTATATCATTCAGTTTGATAATATATCCTGGATTCTCAGGTTTTAATATACAGTATACAGAAAAAAAGGCAAACGAGATAAAAATGGGAAGAAACATTTATTAAATGAAGCAAAGATATACATATGTGAAATGCTTTAAAATCAAACAGAAAATAAACAATGAATTTCAGTTTCAGATTAGTAGATTACCTTTTGATTACAGAAGTGTGCGTGGGTGTGTGTTTGTGAGATGGCAATGGTGCCAAAACATGGTGCACAAGCTATGTTTCATTCATCTCCCATACACTCATATTGCCTTTGAAAGCACTATCTTTCATTCACACACACACACACACACACACTGCTGATGTGAGGTAATTTATCTCTCTCAGTCAAGTCAACATACTCTGTGTGTTGAGTCCGACTTTATGTGTTTGTCAACTTGTAGTCAACATTTTATTCAATCTGCATTCACATGACCAATGGTAAATGGTTGTGTTTCTACGGAGAGAGCGGTGCTGCCCGACTAAGCCAAATTATTGGCACAAGCTAGCAGGAGAGGTAACCAAAGAAACAAAACCAGCAGTTTTAAGCAAAAGGCTCTGCGCATTAATAGCATCATAAATTAATCTCAACATTGAACAAACACACTATTGTGCATGTAAAACTATGAAAATAGCATTGATACTATCTCCGTGTGTAGTCAATAAAGACCCTCTAGCAATCATGAAGTATTATGATGCTTGACCTCATATGGCATTTAAAAAAAAACATATGTTGAGACTATAAAACATGAGTATGAGTGCGCTAAAAAGTTACACATTGAACCTGAACACAGGTAAGCTGTAGTTTTGATATTCATTCTGCCAGGTTTGGGGAAAATAGGACCCAAATGCAGTTAAAAAATACAAAAAGGTTTGTTAACAAAAGCGAGCTTTATTAAAAAAAGCCGAAGACAGGAAAAACAAGAAACTAATTAACTAAACTGGGGAGCACGACAGACAGGAACAAACTTACAGACAGGAACAGGCAGGAGACACGGACGAGCATAGGCGAGGGAACATGGACACGAAGAGACGACAGGTAGCATGGACATGAACCGACGAGCAGGTAACATAGACGAGGAGAGACGACAAACAGACATGGAAGACAAGACTAAATACACAGAAGGGTAATCATCACAGGACAAGACACAGCTGAGCAGGGGAGGCAGAAACACAAGGGCAACAGGTGAACACAATCAGACAATCAGACACACCAGGGAAACTAACGACATATATCCAAAACCATGTCACATTCAGCATCTGACCTTCCCAAAGTAGATTTCTCTAGAAAATTAACAAATATTTATAATTAGAAGCTAATAAATGCAATATTGCTAACCAGCTTCTCTGTGTGGTTTATCAGAAGTCATGTTAACCTGTCTCGCACATCATGTGCAGTGTGTGTACTTTGTTGCCTCCTTCAGTGAATTCTAAATACTGTGCTTCTTCGGCGGTAATTGTTATCAAAGCGCTTAATATTGCAGTGATTGCTTAGAAAAATACAATTGTAACTGTCTGTTTTTGTTTGGTTATTTATGTGAGTTTCAGTGTGAGTTATTGATTTAGGACATTTGTTTATTTTTTCCTTTTGATCTTTATTTATCTTGAAGTGTCTCATTGATTTGTTTCTTTCCTGACTGTAGACATGTATAGTCTGGAGTTGGCTGGTGGTCTGGGGGTCATACTGTTGCTGCTGGGAGTCCTCACTGCACTTTATAAGTGTTACAACCTGGAGATCATGCTCTGCTACAGGAGGCACTTTGGAAGCGATGAAACTGAAGATGGTAAGCTTTTTTAAATTGTTTTATTACTTTTTATGAATTGACTTGGTTTGTGAATTGGTGTACTTTGCTTAAATACAAAACATATTTCTTTACAGGCATTATACATTAAAATAAACTCCCCCTGGAGGGAACTTTGGGATTTTAGCCTTTGCAGACCATTTACATACAAATACCATTATAACACACTACAGGAAAGGGAAAACCCCAGAAGCATTGGGCCCCTTTAAATCTAAGATATTTATTTTATTTGTATATCTAATTTTTAAACCTTTTTTTTACCTCATGAAAGACAAAACCGTAATCATTCTGGAAAAAACAGCCGACATAATTATTAAACTGATAAGTTGGAAATAAATGTAAATGTGTATACACAACCATAGCCATAATAAGTTTGTTTTTTTGTGTGAGTAATAATAATAACACGTTGTATTTGGACACCTTAAACTGCATAGAACTCCACAGGTAGAAACTGTGACAGTATTTTAAAAAGCAGACGGGTAGGAGGGGGCGAGGCAGTCACATTTTGTAACAAACCAGATGATTGGAGGGGTGTAATCATCAGCAAGGGGATGTACTTATATATTAGAAAACAATAACAGCAAAGGTATGATATTGATATCAAATAAAAGATAGAGAATTATTACATTTAATCAAGTCGACGTAGGTCAAAGAAAGCAACTAAAAAAAAAACATCAAAGTAATCAATTCTTTTTTTTTTATTAGGCTTTATGTTTCTCTCAGTATCAAATGTTATATTGAAAAAGCATTAACATAAACAAACAAGCTGAAAGACAAGGAAAAACAAGTCATTTTGCAGTATTGATTTCGAATAAGTAAGCCTGATTTCTTGAGCAGAATATTCCCAAGATTTCATTTGTTCTCTTTAAATCCTGATGTAGAAATGACCAGGAAGTATCAGAATTCAGAATTGATTCAGTTAATTTGATTTAGTGTGAAAATATGCCCTGTGCTCTCACTCACTCACTCTGTCTCTCTCTTCACAGATAATAAGGAGTATGATGCCTATCTCTCCTACACTAAAGTGGACCTGGACTGTTTGGGCAGGTCAGTTACCTCTAAACATATATGTATATGTATTGAACAATGATTTTTTTTTTGTATCGTGTTAACAAAACCAGAATTCAAACTCACTAGCAGAGCTGAAATATGGAATGCAAACCTTGATCATGTGCTTAGAACATCTAAGGTAGTGTTTAAACTTGAATTTAAAAACCCGGAAATAACATTTTACCACTTTCGGTTCCCTCGTCTCAAAGTCATCAGTTTTCTGTTAAAAGCCTGAAATAAGATATGTGGTTAAAACAACCCTAAGAGATTTTCACATGTTGTTCTGCAACATGAAATACGTCACTAATTACCCCACTTGTGAATGTCTGACGCTTCTATGGGTCATAAAAACAGCAAGAGCTAACAAGTGACTACAAGAGACTACAACATTTCATCACGCCGACAAGACACCGCCTTTAGCTTAGGGGTGGTGATCTGTTAAAATGTTGAGATTGGCCGGCATTGCATGCAGCCTCAGAGCGCCAACCACATGGGATGCCTGCAATCCACAGAGCGACCAAGCACCAGAAACATCAGCTGCCTGCGCTCCTCCGGCCCAACCAAGAATCCAGTGGCCCAAATCCACGAGCAGAGCAGAGTGGCAGAAGTTTGATGTAGATTGCATTCTGGAAGGGACTGCCAAGGGGGATGTGGACCGGTGGCAGAACTCTATGGCTACCATCATCGTAAACATTGCAGCTGAGCAATTTGGACTAGAGGATGTCAAGACAGCTTGTGCTCCGAACACCCGAGCAAGGCAAATCCAGCAACTCAGGGAAGAAATTAAGTCTCTCAGGAGGGAGTACAAGAAGTCAGGAGAAGTTGAGAGGGTCAATACTCAAAACTCAATACCCCACAAGCTTGTTGGGGTTGCACTGGAGAGACACCACATACCACAGAAGGTAAAGGACATTATCGTCTGAGCTCCCCGGAAGATTCAAGGCCTGGATTTACCAGCACGGGATCCTCCCAAGAATCCTATTGACTCCGCTTATCTTTGAAGTTCCCATGACTGTAGTGAAAGGGTTAGAGTGCAAGGTGAGCAACTATCTCCGCAGATGGCTGGGCCTGTCTCGCAGCCTGAGCAGCATTGGGCTTTATGGGAACAGCAACAAGCTCAGGCTCCCTTTCAAAGTGGTCGGCACAGGAATTGTTCTGCGGACCGGGAGGAAGTGGAGGGCAGCCGAGGCAGTTCAGCCGGCGGAGGCTCGGCTGAAGCACAAGAACCTGGTTGGGAGTGTGGCACAGGGCAGGGCTGGACTTTGGATAATAACGTCCACCCAGTACGGCACTGCCATCGCAAAAAGACAGGCGAGAGCTGGTGCAAGAGGAGATACCTGCTTCAGTAGAGGAAGAGCAGGAACGCAGTACAGTGGCCATGCGACAGCAGGGTATCTGGATGAAGTGGGAACAGGCGATAGGGCGGAATGTTACCTTGCAGCACATCTGGAGGTGGAACCAACAGAGGATCAAGTTCTTGATTCAGGGAGTTTATGATGTCCTCCCCAGCCCTTAAAACCTGTTCACATGGGGCAAGTTAGAGACACCTGCATGCCCTTTGTGTTCTAAAATAGGGAATCTCGATCAAATCCTGAGCAGCTACTCCAAAGCACTGGGCAAGGGGCGTTATCGCTGGAGACATGACCAGGTCCTAAAGTCCATTGCTGAGGCAATAAGCAAGGGGATTAGTGATAGCAGATACACCAAAACTACAGCAAAGTCCATCAGGTTATTCAAAGAGGACGAGTGGCCGTTGAAAAGACTAAAGGGCTACTCTGCTGGTTTACTCTCCACAACACGAGACTGGGTGATGACAGTTGACCTTGAAAGGCAGCTGAACATTCCAACACACTTAAACCGGTCCAGACTGAGACATCCTCTTGGTCTCTGAGGCCATTAGACAGCTCATCTTGCTGGAGCTCACTATGCCCTGGAAGGAAAGGATGGAGGAAGCGCATGAGAAAGAAGACAAAGTACCAGGAGCTGGTGGAGGACTGCCGCAGAGGACTGATTAACCTCAGTCAGGTTGCCTGGAAGAAGGTGTCTGTTGCAAGACCTGAAACACCCAATAACTCCAGGAAACAACACTGAAGATGTGTTCAAGTTTGAGAATTAGAAGATATGTGTGGATTAACTTCTGATCAAAACGTGTGGGTATCATGAATGCAATGTTTGCCACAGAGTTTACTTTATGCCATATGTGACCCACTCTATCGAAAAAAATAGTTTTTTGGGGTTCGGGTGTTTTTGTTTGATTTTAAATAAACAAAGTCTTGGCTTTCAGATTATGGAACTTTTATTTCTAAAATCACACGATAAATACATTTTTGAAGCTTGTAAAGGGAAGATGACAGCTCTCACTCGCCACTGCTTCCCCTCCCTCCCTCCGGCTGAAATTATGAATGTAAGGCGTATAGTAATCATAGATAACACAGCAGGGTCCATTGCAGTTTGTTTTCATCTGATTTCAATTAAACAAAGTCTTGGCTTTCAGAATATTAAACTTGTTTCGGCAAATTCAGATGATAAATACAACTTTGAAGCTTCGGCATAATTACAAGCGGAGAACGGAGTAACTTGACGTCACAGCAGGCACAATACACACAAATGCAAAATTACACACACACACTTGCGAGCTTCCCCCAGACCAGTAATCCAAACGAAAACATCTTCCCTCCGTAGTATTTTTATCATTTGCTCCGCTAATAACCAATCAGATCAATGGATTCCAGAGAAGAGAAAACTTTGAAGGCCTTTTTCTCAAAATGATGACTCGGTGACAGTCATTATATAATGTGACATATTTTGCTTAATATTTGGAGTACAAAAACAATCCTGATATCATTAGAAAGCTAGGAATCTCCTCTTTCCAACAGTGTATACAACTCAAAATGTGTCTTCGGGTCAATGCGACTGATTTCGATGGAGCAGGTCACATATACCGAAATCCAATGGAAAAATCCTATTGCACTTGTGGGAGCCCTTTCTGATGCTAACTTCCTATATTGAAAATATTGTGAATCTTATATTTAAATGTTTACAATGATATTGAAAACAGTAGCATTGTAGCAAAGTAATCTAAAAGCCCATTTCAATCTCATAGTGCTTACAAAAAGAGAAAGATTTACAATCAAAACTATTTAGAGTCAACAATAAACCTAACCTGTATATCTTTTTTTGCATTTATTTTATTATAATTTATAACCTGGAGCACACAAGGAGAACAAAGCGACTCACAACAATTTGAAAGAGCAAGTCAGTGGCGTGGTCTGGCCTGGGAGTCCGGGGCACATTCAAGCTCGGCTCTGTCTGTGTGTGTGTTTAGCACAAGATCTTTTTTTTGCGAGAGAGAGCGCACCGGTATCGGGGATTGTTGTTAGCTAGCTGCGCTGACGGATATAAAAAGCCGTTTCTACAACAAGGTGGAGCAACACATCCTCACTCCCAGGTCGGCCTATGTTGACGTTATGTCAAGTCCCCTTTGTCGGCTTTTTCCAACGCAAGGGGGGCCCTTAGCGTCCATTTTCAACGCAAGGGGGGGGGGGGGGGGCCCTTAGCGTCCATTTTCAGCTTTCCGGGATGTCCATATGCTTCTATGGACGCTCATGGAAGCACGGCATTCGTTTGTGTCGGCTGCCCTTAAGGGCAATGTGAGCGTCCATTCTCATTGGATAACGGAGAATTGTACACCCGGAAGTAAGTATTCCCCTTACAGTCGATTGATTTTACAGTGATATCTGCACTACTCATCGACTAAAAAACACCAGATTATCCTTGTTAATTACACAACATTGATTGGTTTAAATTGTGTGCAATGCTTTTGTATTTTTCCCCTTCGATTCGGAGAAACAAATATTTTTTCGGAGTAAAGGATGGCAGAAGACACTACACTACCCAGAATCCCCAGCTATCGTTTGGACTACACCATGTGCTCTGTTTGACGTCATGTGATCTTCAAATTTCTCCCTGCAGAAAAAAAAAACATGGCCGAACTTCGTTTTATTCTCGATGGAAAATGCCTATTTTAAAGTTAGTTTGGCCATTAAAATGCGTTTTGATGTCATTTGATGCGAGAAATATGAGTTGTTATTTCAGATTATGTGTGCAGTGGATGTACATGATCTTTAGTTTGCTAGTTATTACGAAGATTACTTCAGGAAATTGCGTCCATAACGTTTTCATTGTTACCAAGGTGGTTGCTAGGGACGCTGCTATCGATATTATTTCTGTTATGTTGTGTAACTGTTTAATGGTGTTATCTTTATTGTTACCCCCTTCCCCGTCAATGTATAGTGTTGGTCCACAGCGAAAACATATTAGTTTAACAAAATCCGCATCTAAAGATAGCCTACGTTATTTTCCCCTGTGCAATTCCAGTCTCACATCTCAGAGCACATCGTCATTAACAAATACCGGAAACAGACCAAAAACATTTTTTTTAAATAAAATAATACTTTATTCCGAATGTGCTTGCTTTTCTCTTTGAAAGTCATCACATACCGGCATTGTAATACACGGTTCGGCTGCATTAAATATTACATATCTGCCGTAGTTCTGTATTTATAGAGCCCTGATGAGAAGACTTCTAGACAAACATGAGGAACTGAAAACGTGACGTGGATCATAAATATATCAGCAGTTAAACAACATCTTACATTTCTTTTCACACAATACGTCTCCATGCAGTATCAACACTAATTCGGCTGACTTTTATATTTGATCCAATTGGTAGATAGGCTGTATTTACACCATAAAGGTGCACACCTGATATAAAGGGACACCTAGTGGTTAAAGCATGTTATTGAATTTCATTATTTGTATTATTAGATATTAATAGGATCCCTATAAAGTATATTCATTACTCGTTATTCTCTACTAATAGTCCATTAAAGACTGTATATAATGACTATTTTGCACATCCCTTTCAAGATTTCAAGATTTTCTAAGGTTTATTGACATATCATATAGGCCTACACAACTATGGTGTAGTTATGCATTGAATGAAAAACTTGGGTCGCAGGTTCCTCAATAGTGCATTACAAGACATCTATCAATATTTGTGCGTACCTCCAGCAATGTTAACTATGCTGAAGCACTTATTTTAACTGATATTATACATAATGTATTATACTCTTATAAGATGTATGTAGATATTTCATCTCCGGCCTTGTCAGGTATTGAACAATCAATAAATAAAGAACACAGAATTGTTGAATATAAAACACAGAATTTGTGTGATTATACTAAATGATTTACAAATAAACACCACTGCATATTTAACTGTTACACATGCTGATGTAACGCAAATGTTCCAACTTGGGATCAATAAAGTATATCTTATCTTAAGACTTAAGCTGATCGATGGCTACTGCCATATTTGCAAAATGTGCCTCTGAACCTTGACAAGTGCATGTTTCAGGCTTATCAATTAATGTAATGTTATCAATTAACAACAGGGGTCACAAACATAAGACCAGCTGTTAAATAAAGCTCTTCTGACCTTAGCTGGCATGTGGGTATATATATTAATGCTGCCCATTATGGGCACAAGCAATTTTCACCCATTTATTAATTATATGTTTTAAATGTGAGTGTTTCCTACCCCCTAAACCTCCAGGGATGTACACAGTTTAATACTGGCAACTTCTTATTATGGGAAATACGAAAACGTCTTTTAAAACTACAACTCCCAGAGACGTGCCATAGATAGAGAACATGTTGCGAAACAGAATAGCCAGCATGTGTAGTTCTGGGAACGGGGGAGGGGGGGACGCGGTGGACCCGTTCAAATCCAGTTTTGGACAGTCTGCCGTTCGAGGCTCGGCGTAACCCTCGGAGCACACTCTCCAATCACAGAGCTTGAGGACTATCACGGGGTTTGTCAAAGAGAGCACATGGTGTAGTCCAAACGATAGCTGGGGATTCTGGGTAGTGTAGTGTCTTCTGCCATCCTTTACTCCGAAAAAATATTTGTTTCTCCGAATCGAAGGGGAGAAATACAAAAGCATTGCACACAATTTAAACCAATCAATGTTGTGTAATTAACAAGGATAATCTGGTGTTTTTTAGTCGATGAGTAGTGCAGATATCACTGTAAAATCAATCGACAGTAAGGGGAATACTTACTTCCGGGTGTACAATTCTCTGTTATCCAATGGGAATGGACGCTCACATTGCCTTTAAGGGCAGCCGACACAAACGAATGCCGTGCTTCCATGAGCGTCCATAGAAGCATATGGACATCCCGGAAAGCTGAAAATGGACGCTAAGGGCCCCCCCCTTGCGTTGGAAAAAGCCGACACAGGGGACTTGACATAACGTCAACATAGGCCGACCTGGGAGTGAGGATGTGTTGGGTGGAGCGAGAGTTCTCTGCCTCAGATAACTACAGCTCGGGTGAAGTAAAGGACTCTGTTTGGATAGTTACTGTTAGTCTAAGTTATCTCAGTGGGTCTCAAATGGTTTGGTCACCATTACGTAAACAAATTATTTTCATTTCCAAACCACACCTTTATATAATTGTATAACCTCTGTGATATTTATTGTTGGTGTCAATTGAGTAAAACATTTAATCATGTTAATCGCAATAATAATCTGTAATAACATACTAGTAATTCATTTTATTTTGGACAGATATAAGATAAATACATGTACGGTGTAATGATGAAGAAATGCATGACAAACTGCTAGGAGAAATCAGAGGGTTTGTACCTTTCAGCTTAGTTTTAATGGCTTCTGAATTATTGCCATGAAGTCAGACCAGAACCTAAAAATGAGCATGTTAATGTTACCTCAGCTCCAAAAATGGTTGATCTTGCAGTTTACACTTCACTTATTAAAGTTATTGTTTTTTGTCCTCCTCAGCAGAGGAAGCAGCGACGAAGAAACATTTGCTTTGGAGATCTTGCCGGACGTTTTAGAGAAACATTATGGATACAAGCTGTTTTTACCAGACAGAGATCTCATACCCAGCAGCAGTAAGTATCCATACTCTATACACACACACACACACACACACATACACACACACACACACACACACACATACACACACACACACACACACACACACACACACACACTCACACACACATTCTGTCTATCCCTCTCTATGGGCCGTTATAGCCCCAAACACGCAAAATCCCTCACTGTCAGAATAGATAGGATGGTGATTCTCATTTTAACACACTCACAAACAGACACACACATGTCTGCGTAAGATCTCAGGTGATAATCAAAAACACACACACAAAAACTAAGTCTACAGAGCGTCACTTGACCTAAATAACAGTTGCTCACACGTTTATTTTCATGTTTTTTATATTAAAGCAACACACACAAACACAATCTAAGTCTTTCACAGCGTGATTTACATCTATATCTCACTTTCACACCAACAAATTCCCATGTGCACAGAGTTCACACAACACACACCGTTTGTCATTGTATCTGGGGATATATGTCTGTCCAACTGGAATGGGAAATATGATTGTTATTGCTCCATCTGTCAATGCTGTGACCTGACACACACACAGGTCCACTAATCTGTGTTGATAGAAATCATTTTGGTACATGCAATAAGAAGAGCATAAGATGAAAAATGTGGATACTGTAATATAAAGATTTGTTAGTATTCTCAACACACACACACACACACACACACACACACACACACACATCCATCATTGTTAAAGTCATCCCTGGCTTTGCTCGCTGCAGGGAAGGTGAATGGAGAATATAGATTGGAATGTACGCAGGTTCATCTGCTTCGTATGAGTGTTTTTCACGGAAAACCACAATTGTTAAGGAGGTTATGCCCATTTTCAGGAGTACGCTTATCCGGTCTACATGTGTTTTGTAGACTTGGGGAAGGCGTATGACCGAGTTCCCAGGGAGTTACTGTGGGAGGTGCTGCTGTATGGGGTGAGGGGGTCTCTACTCAGGGCCATCCAATCTCTGTACTCCCAAAGCGAGAGCTGTGTCCGGGTCCTCGGCAGTAAGTCGGACCCATTTCCGGTGAGGGTTGGCCTCCGCCAGGGCTGCGCTTTGTCACCAATCCTGTTTGTAATATACATGGATCGGATTTCGAGGCGTAGTCGTGGGGAGGGGGTCTGCAGTTCGGTGGACTAAGGATTGCACCACTGCTTTTAGCAGATGATGTGTTTCTAATGGCTTCATCGGTCTTCGACCTTCAGCACTCACTGGATCGGTTCGCAACCGAGTGTGAAGCGGCTGGGATGAGGATCAGCACCTCCAAATCTGAGGCCATGGTTCTCAGCAGGAAACCGATGGACTGTCCACTCCAAGTAGGGAATGAGTCCTTACCCCAAGTGAAGGAGTTCAAGTATCTCGGGGTCTTGTTCTCGAGTGAGGGAACAATGGAGCGTGAGATGGGCCGGAGAATCGGAGCAGCGGGAGCGGTACTGCAGTCGCTTTACCGCACCGTTGTGACGAAAAGGGAGCTGAGCCAGAAGGCAAAGCTCTCTGTCTTCCGGGCCATTTTCATTCGTACCCTCACCTATGGTCATGAAGGATGGGTCATGACCGAAAGAACGAGATCGCGGATACAAGCGGCCGAGATGGGTTTTCTCCGCAGGGTGGCTGGTGTCTCCCTTAGGTGAGAATTTCGGTCATCCGGGAGGGACTCGGAGTTGAACCGCTCCTCCTTCGCGTCAAAAGGAGCCAGTTGAGGTGGTTCGGGCACCTAGTAAGGTTGCCACCTGGGCGCCTCCCTAGGGAGGTGTTCCAGGCACGTCCAGCTGGGAAGAGACCAAGGGGTAGACCTAGGACCAGGTGGAGGGATTATATCTCTTCACTGGCCTGGGAGCGTCTTGGGATCCCCCAGTCAGAGCTGGTTGATGTCGCCAGGGAAAGGAAAGTTTGGGGCTCTCTGCTGGAACTGTTACCTCCGCGACCCGACCACGGATAAGCGGGAGAAAATGGATGGATGGATGGATTATCTCTTATCTTATCTTAATAAGCATGGATGTGTAAGAGAACTGGATACAGCGTTACAGGCGGGATCTCATTCATTCCTATCAGAGTTGCTCAGTGGCACGCACAAAGCCAAAATGGCCTGCCTCTCAAGAGCAAAGGTACCCGTATCTAGGCCCAAAGAGCGTATGTGCCCTTGAGTTAAGCTTAAGCCCCGCCTTCGATCCGCAGCGTGACAATCGACTTGGCTCAGTCAAATGAATGGAGAGAGAAAATAACTCTGGATTCTGCTTTAAGCAAATTTCAAAACTTTTGGACCCCAACGATTTTGAACGGTAAGTTGATTTTATTTGTTTTAATCCACCTTTTTATCCAAAGCGACTTACTTATGATGTTATGCTAAAATGTTGAATACATTTGCTTCAGGATATGGTACACATCTTATACCTGCTATTATTTTTTAAAGCTTTTTTCAGAGGCGCCTGGTTACTTTCACTGCAGTATAAAACAAATTAATTCAGATATGAAGCCATTCTCTACTCTGCATTAGCATTTTATTACCACAACCTGTCCAAAAGACTAAAATAACTTTATAATTTGAAGCTCCAAAGGAATATGTGTTCTTTGAACTATTCAACATTTTCTCTTAAAATACATTAATACATTTACTTAATTATGGTTTATAATGAATCACCCTAAGCCAACATTAGTCCTCCTCCCAGCACATTCTCTACAAAAAAACACACATGCATCCTAAGCGGGGTTTGAAAAGTCATATTTCCAGAGGCTGCCTCTCAGTTCCCTAATAACATTCCAACAACAAATGTCCACTGTGCAAAACATGCATAGCTTACACTAAGCTGCATATGAATGAAAGGTTACAGATTGTGAAAATAAATGAGTTGGTAACAGCCACCCAAAAGAGTTTCCTTTTCAATGCTTACCAAAGCTATTGACAGAGCAACATGGTAAAAAAAAAAACACGTTCAATTATCCACTCCATTAGCCCTCCGAAGAGTGCGAGAGTTAAACAACGGGGTCATTGGCTTGTGTTTTCAATTAATTGATTTACATAATCCTCAGAAATACAGAGCGGGAAGAGGTAGGGAAGGGCAGAACAGAGGGGGGGGGGAGAAAAAGACAGAGAAAGATGAAGAGAGGGATGGAAAAGCAGAGAAGAGAAAAAAAGGAGTGAATTTTCAGATGCAGTGTACTATTTGTGCCCCTCAAATTGAGCGGGAAATCAAAATGTGTTGTTGGAGAGTCTCCGTCATTAATTTAGTTAGCACAAGAAAATATGGTAGCAGTAGACGTCACGGAGATAGGAGATTTGTTTTTCACAGATCACTCAGTTTTAGACACTTTCGGGAACTACAAATTTGAAAAATAATGGGAACGGCGTACTTTCCCAATTAATTATAAATAGGACAGTTGGGGAAGATGAGTTTAAATAGACCTAAGGATTAAGCAACAGCACTACAGTGAGGATGGAAATAAGCATTTGTGAAGCTCTGTAATAGGTTGCTCAGATTTTAGTTATTGTTTTTTCTTTTGGACATTAGAAGGTGGCTAATGGTTGCCATATTGCTAACGATATATGAAATGGATTTAACTTCTCATTTTGGGAAATTCAACTAACTGAAAATATGCTATCTGTTCCAGCCATTGAGTGGTGCAGCGGTGACGTATTTTGTAGGACGACCCGGCAGTTATGTATCTTTGCAAGGGCTCTCTCGACAAATACAATGGGACTGTTTCATTGGATTTCAGTATATTGCAGAAAATAAGCTTTGTAGGAAACACACGTTTATGATACTTCCAAGTTTTAGTCAGCAGAATAATCTCCACATATAAACACCACTCTTTACATTTTTGATGCATAAATGTAAAAAGCTAACAACATCATGGTACCATGGTTGCGCATCACCACCACTAAGCTTTAAATGGACTGTTGTTCGGACGGTTGATGTTTAGTAGTCTCATTTAGTCACTTGTTAGCAAGCTCTGTTTTCCAGACACAAAGAAGCTTCGGACATTCACAATTTGGGTGGTTACTGACGTATCTAATGTCTTAGTACAAAACGTGAAAATCTCTTAAGCTTCTGTTTCAACAGACGTCACATTTCCTTCCATAAGTTATAAGTAAAAGCTGATGGTGGTCAGCACAACTCTGACTCCCAGTAAAGAGCTGTTACCAAAACTCTTGCACAAGCATTCCTGTCACTCTGCTGTAAACTCCTGCCAGTCATTTCCTGAACAAAAAAGGGGAAGGATGACGCCAGCAAAAATACATCAGATACCATTGTTACGACCCTGGGTCGTTATGTTGTTTGTGTGCAGGTATTTTCTTCCTACTCCTGTGTCTGTGGCTGCGTATGAGTGAACAGGTGGTGCCCGGTAGCTGATTGGAGGCCCTCGACAGGCTGATTGGTCCACCTGGGGAGACGGGAGGATATTTAACTGCAGCCGTGCAGTTCCTCGGCCGCTCTCACTGACTCCGCTTCTCCTACTCCCAACGCGGCGCTTTTTTAAAATATTTTGTTCTGTGGTGCTGTGAGCGCACCCTGGTATCGTTTTGTCCTTCTCCTCTGGCTACGGGCCAGTGTCACTTTACCTGTCTTTGCAAGACGGATGTATGTTCTCAGGAGTGCAAACCCTTTTGTTTTTATTTTCCCTTTTGGATTGATCGTTTTCTCCTGTTTACGTTAGTGTAGGTACTGTAAGAAGCCTGTATGTTATTTCTCGGTTAGGTAAGATTTTGAGTTGTAAGGATTGTTTCTTTTTAGTTGGTTTTGCTACTCCTGTTTGTGTATATTTTTTGATAAATACATTTACCAAACGCTTTCTCTGACTCGGTGTCCGTGTTCTTGGGAGTGGGAAGAGTGGGGGAGAGTGCACATTTTGTGCTGCGCCTAGGTTCCCCTATACCTGGGCGTAACACCATACATACTGATGTTCAATGTTCTCTGCCTCTTTATTTAAGAACTTTAAATCTTATTGTTTGTCTTTGCATTTTTGGGAAAGATATGCAAAGCTAAAAAAAATACCTCAACATATTTCAAGTCAAACAGAAATAGGGACATGTGGGTGTTCAAAGTGCAGTTGTGATTAAAATTCAAAACTACTAGCTCTCCTGAAAAATAAATTACCTTTAAGCACCTATAATGGTTACCCAATACTTAATTTCAATGTATCTCACAATGTTGAGCTATTCTTTTTAAGAAAAGCTTTTTCAATATTGGTCCTCTGACGGACCTGTTAAATATGTTATTGTCTTATGCACTTGATAGTACATTTTGTGTTCCATAATAGCATATGCCTCTTTTCTTCTTCCCCTAAAGTGAGATGAGAACATTCAAATCAAATCAAGTTTTATTTATATAGCACATTTATAAACGATTTTTGGTCGAGCCAAAGTGCTGTACATATAATAAAAATAGCCTACAGTAGAGACACTTTACAGCAAATACAACAGCACAGATTGTTCAGAATATCAGTATGAGAAAAACGACACCCTCTATCCTTAGACCCTCACATCGTACAAGGAAAAACTTCCAGAGAAAACCCACAGTTTAAGGGGAAAAAATGGGAGAAACCTCAGGGAGAGCAGCAGAGGAGGGATCCCTCTCCCAGGATGGACAGACGTGCAATAGATGCCGTGTGTAAATCGAAGAGATAATACATTTTACAGCATATAGACCGAATGTTAGGAAATGCATGTGTCTGTAATAAGAAGATGAATCCACGAGGATGTCAGCTACAATCCTGTGGAAGCCATCAGGGAAGCAGCATGACGAGACCCAAGGCAGGACCGCAGAGACAGGTTCAGCCACGACCCGAAGTCCACAACTTAATCCAGAACTCAGGATAGAGGATCCAAGACACAGGACTACAGCAAGAGGATCAGCCTCGACTCCGGATCCCGGCATAGATAGGCCTATAGATACAAAACAAGAAAAAAGATTTGGCTGGGTTAATCGGAACAAGAGAATACACAGACACAGACAGAGAGGGAAAAGGTCATTGGATAAAAGTTATTCTTGATAACCCTCTAGAAAGATCTCATGAACTTCCCCACTCAATCTATCAAGACCCGAGCAGTTCTATTAGATATAGGATAAGAAACAGAGATAGGGAGCACAACAACTTATCTCTTCGTCAGATGCACTCCCCCGCTTATCTAAGCGACTCTGTACCCCGTTACCCTCTACAAGGCCATAGCCCAGCAGAGGGAAAATGGGGGGTGTGTAAGGGTAAGGATTTTTAAGAATAAACCGCAAGGGTCTAAAGGGAAAAAAGATTAAATATAAGGTACTATATTTTAAGTAATCCTATCTACTATTCCTATATTCGAATAATGTATAAACTATTTTAAAAATACTTTATGAAATCCTATGTTATGTTATAAATATTAAAATAAAGAACTAAATGAATAAATAACTGAATAAATAAATATTTAAACAAAAGCCAGAGAGAAAAAGTGAGTTTTAAGTGTTGATTTAAAAACCCCCAGGGTCTGGGCCGACCTCACATGGAGGGGCAAAGTATTCCAGAGCCTAGGGCCAGCCGCTGCGAAAGCTCGATGCCTGGTCTTAGGCACTATCAACAACAGCTGATCAGCCGACCTTAAGGCTCTGCCTGGGGTGTAGCAATGGAGGAGTTCGGCTGTATAGGCAGGAGCCAGCCCATTTAGGGCTTTGAAAACAAATAAAAGGAGTTTAAAATCTATTCTGAACCGAACTGGAAGCCAGTGCAATGAAGCCAGAATTGGGGTGATATGGTCACGCTTTTTATGGCCAGTCAGAAGATGTGCAGCTGCATTCTGAACTAGCTGGAGGCGTCTAATTGAGGCCTGGTCCATACCCACATACAGAGCATTGCAGTAATCCAGTCTCGAGGTAACAAAGGCGTTAATAACCCTTTCTAGGTCTTTAAAAGATAAAAACGACTTGGTCTTAGCCAATAGTCGTATTTTGAAAAAGCAGGTCTTGACTACAGCTAACCTGCTTATCAAATGTAAAGGCGCTGTTGAAGGTCACTCCAAGGTTCATAACAGAGGGGAGGATATTTTTATTGAGGGAGCCCAGAATATCAACCGGGGAGACTGTTGGTTGGGGTCCAAAAAAGATGACCTCGGTCTTACTCTCATTGAGGGTGAGGAAGTTTTGGCTCAGCCAGGATTTAATCTCTGTTAAGCAGTCCTTCAACTGCTGTAATGAGTTGGCATTTTGATTGAGAGGCAGAGATATCTGTACATCATCAGCGTAACAATGGAAGGGGATATTATGTTTTGTGATAATTGAACCTAGGGGCAGTATGTACAATAGAAAAAGGATGGGGCCCAGAATCAAGCCTTGGGGAACCCCACAGGTAAGAGGGGCTTTGGCAGAGGAGAAAGCACCTAATTGCACTGAGAAGCTACGGTCCGTCAAATAAGACCTGAACCATGCAAGGGCAGAGCCTGTAATGCCTGCGGACTGTTCAAGCCGTGACAACAGGATACTATGATCCACAGTGTCAAAGGCAGCAGTTAAATCTAACAGCACCAAGACAGCTGGTCTGCCTGAGTCGGCGGCTAAGAGCAGATCCTTAAAAACTCTTAAAAGGGCAGTACTATGCATAGGTTTAAAGCCAGACTGAAATGTTTCATGGATGCTATGCGTGGTTAAAAACGACTGCAGCTGGGCGTAGACTACTCGCTCCAGGGCTTTAGATAAAAAGGGTAGCTGGGAGATGGGCCTGAAATTTGCGAGAATGGAGGGATCGAGATTTTTCTTTTTAAGTAGTGGCTTAACCACGGCATGTTTGAAGGCAGCTGGGACACATCCTGAGCTAAGAGAAGTGTTTACTTTACAAGCAATAAAACACTTGCTCCAACTGATTCAAAAACATCTCTAAGGAGGCGAGAGGGAATGCTGTCTAAGGTGCAGTTTGTCGGCCGCAAATGCTTGACTACTTCCGAGAGAGAAGAGAGGGATACAGGCTCAAAATAATCGAGGACAGCAGGGCACAGAAAGGGAGCAGGATCTGGGGTAGCACTAGTATAGGCTAGCCTAAGAGCAGATTTTTTTTCGATAAAAAATGTAATAAATGTATCGCATTGATAGCCACCTTAACTTACTCCCTCGACTGTGATAATACTTCCAGGAGCTGTACAGTCCACTGCTCCCAGCTGTTGGTTGTAAATAGTTACAGCACGTAATTCTCTCTAAAACCACAAATTGTTGATTACAACACATTTACATTTGCATTCACATTACACATGTTAAACAAATTACAAATAAAGCACTACTAAGTCAGCTTAAGAGGTGCTGGTAGTTGTATTTTATCAGTTTGAGCTAAACCACATTAGCTTTTTGCCCCTTTAGCTTTTATGCTATGTTAGGCTAACCTTATTCTGACTCCAGCTTAAGGTTTATATCAATCTTCTAATGTCAAGCAAGTTAGCATATATTTTTACATTTTCTAAACACCATTCCGTCAAATGATGATTATGAGAAAAAATGCTTACTTTGTCAATCCTGTTTTGTATTTAAATCAGAAAATATTTACTTTTGTTTTGGAACTGTTTCTTGTCTTTAACATTTATTGCAAACAAGTTCATTAGAAAACAGATGATGTATTGATCTTCACTTTATACTTAAAACTTCCCTTTCTTTCTCTCTATTTAGTTTTCCCTTTGTCTCCATGTGTCTCTCTCCCAGCCTACATCGAGGACTTGGCTCGCAGTGTGGAGCAGAGCAGACGTCTGATCATCGTTTTGACTCCAGAGTTTGTTGCCAAAAGAGGGTGGAGCATCTTTCAGATAGAGACACGCCTCCACTCCATGCTGGTTACCGGGGAGATCAAGGTATGACATGGGAAGGGAAGAGGAAGTACAAAAATAAGAGACATGCAGAACCATAACATCGGAACTATTACATTGTTTAGAGAAGTTGTGAAGTACTTTGCACAACACTTTGAAGAGCAGCTTAGTTCTCCCTTCTTAAGTACCTCCACCTCTGTGATTCTTTCCAGGTGATCATGATTGAGTGTGCAGACCTGAAGAATGTCATCAACTACCAAGAGGTGGAAGCACTTAAACACACGATCAAGGTATGCAGGGAGGGCTAAATAGAGGGAGAGTGTGATTTGTCTTCAGACAGCAGGAGGAATAATAATAATAATCTCTTCCCTTTCCTCAGGTTTTATCCATCATCAAGTGGAGGGGTCCTAAGAGCAATGAGCTGTCATCTAAGTTTTGGAAACAGGTGGTCTATGATATGCCTGCTAAACGCAGAGAGACGCTGTCCAGACGCCAGGTACACTGCTATTTACCAGAAATTAAAATTAAATATGTGTTCACAATCCTGCACAAACCGGCACTGTTTGGATGAGCAGAACTACAAACCTTTACATTTTCCAACAAAAAGTAATTCAATGGAAACAACATTACTTTTTAAGAAAAGAACATAATGGTTTGGAAAAAATGTTTTGAAGATGCATATCTTAAACAATATCCACTGAAACCTTTCCCATCCTACTCATGGACGATGCATTAGCAGAACAACACTGTGTCCATGGCATGTCCAGGAGCCTAAGGAACTAGCTGTGTTAATGTAGTCTGCACATTTACTGATGATCCCCTGGGGGGCACACACTCACACTCACGTTTACCATGTGCTAACACTTCAGGTGGTGTATGACCTGATTAGCTAAGATATGTTCTCCTGCAGAATATTCTGCTCATATTAACAATTTGTATGATTTTTTAAGTCTAGATGCAATTGCCAGAAGTAAAAAGCTAACGTTTATGTGAACACTACTAAGCTACAGGTGGCTAATATTCGGAGTGATGACGTTTAGCAGTTTCATATACGCAATTGCAAGCAACGGTTGTCTTCATGACACATAGAAGATTCAGACGTTCACTAGTGGGGTATTTACTGACATATTTTATGTCCCATACCTAAACGTGAACATCTTTTAAGGTGTAACCACAGAACTTATTTCTATCTTTACAATAACGTGATCACACATCTGTTGACTTTGAGACAAGGTAACCTGAATTGGTAAAATGTAGGGCTGTGCAATTAATCGTATTTTAATCGCGATTACGATTATGGCTTGCGACGATTAGGAAAACAGCATAATTGACAAAATACGATTATTTTGCTGGGTGCGCTTTCGCCCCTCCCTAAAAGCCCACTCGGCCACGTGGGAGTGACATGTGTTGTGAGTGTTCAGCGCTAGCGAAGATGTCAGAACAAGAGCAGCAACTAGTTAAAAAGAAGGGTCGCGGGGAGATTCCCAGTCGATCCCGAGATGTGTCTAAAAATAGAACAACAATATTCTGTTTTATCGTTAATGTCCTGTAACATAATGTTCCCGTGCCAGAATAATGCACTTGAACGCATCAAAGCTTTGTGATTGGCCGGCCTCACCCCATGTGTCCGGGCGTGGCTGGTGAGCAGTGCACTAGTTCGCTGACGTTGTCCGTGTCAACAGCATGGATGGTCAACAGGAGTGACAGTCCGCACACACACAAGACCGCAATTATGGCAGAAGCAAAAAAGCCCAAAATATATAATTTTCACTCCAAGTGGGAGGATCATTATTTTTGTATCTATTCCAATTCAAAGTCCATCTGTCTCATCTGCAATGCGAGCGTGGCTTTATCGAAGAAGGGTAATTTAGGAGCGGCATTTCAAAACAGTGCACAAACGCTACGAGACGGAATTCCCTCCTAATTCTGCCCTACGCTCCAAAAGGGGAGGGGCCTGAGAGGACAACTAAATGCACAGCAGTCCATTTTCACCAGGCTCAACAACAAGAGCAAGGCTGCTACCATAGCATCTTATCGGGTCAGTCACGTTCTTGCGAAACACATGAAGTCTTTCGAAGACGGCGAAGTTGTAAAAGAAGCTTTCCTGGAGGCTGCGACGCGCTTTTGTGGGACAGTAAAAATAACAGCAGCATTTCAACAGGTTTTTGATATAATAAAAACTCAATTTAGATACCGTTATTAATCTGCTGTAAGTTTTAGTTTGTTTGAATTTATTCATGATAATTATTGTACAAAATGGTATAAGAATGCTAACATTAAGATCTGTTCTGTTTAAATTGATTATAGTCTATCAGTTCAGAAACTAGTGTTGCTTGCATCCTATTTTAAAGGCATTTATTTGTATACTCTAATAAAATGCAACAAAAAATGGGTTTGATTCTATTAATGTTGTCTTTTTTATTGCACTGTTGCTGCAGCAGATTACTGTGTAGCTTCAGATCTGAGTTGTCTTATTAGTAAGCCTAATTTATACTTTTGTAGCAACACTATTTTTATATAATGGCAAAGAAAGGGTTCTTCAGAGTCTTTTCTTTTTTTCCTGTGTCATATGTGGCAGCACTGCCACAAGTTCCTCTTCAGAGAGGGTATTCAGTACAGGTGGCAATATTGTCACCTGCCTGCACTCATCTCTGAAACCAGACCATGTAAACAGCCTGGTGTTTCTTGCAAACAATCTTTAAGAGATGACATGAGCAGCATTTGCCATGGTGGCCTAAAAAAATTTATTTGGTCTTTAATTGTAGTTCAACATTTATTTCCTGTTACTTCTGGACCATGACGGTTGGCCAGCCTTCAACGTTAAACTGAGTGGAATATGTTGAATATGTTTTACCAAAATGTTGGCTATATGTTAAGGAGTTTTCAGTAGGTTGTGACAGTGCACTGTAACATATTTGATTTCATTTATTTTGGTCTAATTTATTTTTATTTATCATATTAATATATGTTTAGTATGGTTTTGGAAGTGCGCTCCAACACATTTATTGATCTTGTTTATTGGTAAAATATTATTTGTTTTAAAGTTCAATAAATGGTCAATGAATAATCGTCAAAATAATCGTGATATCAATTATTGACCAAATAATCGTGATTATGATTTTTGCCATAATCGCACAGCCCTAGTAAAATGCTAACTCATTGCCAGGTTTTAGAACTTGTGCCTGCACCTATATATTCATTCTCCTATAACGTGTAGCAAGGAGACGAGAAGAAAAGGTCAAGTAGTTTTTCAATTTATGGGCAAAGAAACACATTTTATAATTTGTTGGCGAATTCAAGCCATCCATCTTGCTCAGCAACAAACACTGAATGGAGATCAGCTGTGTTCTGACCATCACCATCACCACCACCAGAACCTTGGAGGTTGACATTTATGGACTGCCTGAGTCAATGTGAGTAGTAGTACACAACCCCCTTTCGTCACATTAGTATGCATGGAAAGTGACAGGTGGACACGCCCCCAATTATGCAAATGAGCTAAGTCCCGCCTCCCATTGTTTGAGATCCTTTGATGTGAGGGGGGTACAATTATGTTAATGAGCTAAGTCCCGCCTCCCTTTGTTCGAGATCCTTTGATGTGTGTTATAACAGGTAGGTGTGAAAAGCCCCCTGGGTAGCGCCTTTGTTGTCTAATTCTTTGATGTGTTGATTAAGTCTCTTTGAAGTTGTGTTGTCTGGCCCCTGTCCCCTCACACCCCTTTGTAGTCTAGTCCTTTGATGTGAGGTGTTATAGCAGGTAGGTGTGATATAAGCCTCTGATGTTAATCTAGGTGTCTCTTTGAAGTTATGATGTCTGGCCCCTGCCCCTCAGAGCCCTTTGTTGTCTAATCTAATTAGCCTTTGGTGTTTTCCCTTTGATGTGAGGTGTTATAACAGGCAGGTGTGACTTCACACTGGTGTGTTATAAGCCTTTGATGTTAATCTAGGTGTCTCTTTGAAGTTATGCGTGAGACTGTCTACCCGCCCCCTCCCAGCCCAGGCCTCTCCCCCCTTTTCTCCACCCCTTCCTGTGGCTATGACGCCAGCAGATAGTGGGGGGTGGAATTAGATGAAGATAGAAATATGCTCAAACTAAATAAAAAGACAGTCATTTCCACTTACCACGTCACCTTTTTAAAAAAGAAAAATGGCAAGAGACGCCTCGAATGGGGTTTAATCAGCCTGTGACAACTTACCGCCATCCGTCCGGAGCGCCAGTCAAGAAACGAATGCAGCAGTAGCAGTGCGGGATTCAGACGCATACAGCCAAAGATCTGTGCACAAACTTATCTCGTGCCCTCTTTTGGTCATGTGCGCGTTCATGTGTGTTGGAGGAGGGGCTCTGTGAGGAAGTGGCAGATTTTCCCCCCCGGTTGTGTACTTTCAAATTCTAGCTCATTCGAGATGGTTTCTCCAAAATGATCTACCCCCTACCTTTAAGAACAATTAACACACACACACACACACACACACACACACACACACACACACACACACACGTTGGAGTTGGCCTTTGATCTGAGGGTTTGAGATAAGCCTGGGATGTTAATCTATATGTTGATTAAGACACTCTGTGAGGTGAGAAGCGAGGGGATGGAGTTAGTTTAATAAAAAAAAAGGAAACCTTACACTTTTAGTTGTCCTCTCTAAATTAGATGTAAGGTTTTTTTAAATTATTAGTGTTAATTAAGGGTTATTGTTATTTTGTTTTATAAGGGGATAGGAGTTCAACTTTTAAAAATTGCACAGGATCATTCTAAGAAGAGTGAGAGGGCTAATGAGCCAGCACCATACCTCCTCTATGCATTTTCTTGACCTGTATCTGATCTTGAAAAACTCTGGTAAGTACTTTTTATTTTATTTTATAATATCATGTAATTATTAAATGTTGTTTTTTTGGTAGGGGTTAAACTATATTATGTGGATAGTATATTATTAGATACTTAAAAATGTTGTGTTTTTTCTGTCAGACCCTGTGTGCTGAAATCTACTCAAACAGAGTACTTCATGGTAGTGGTCAGCTTTTAAACACAAACTTGTATCTTTCAGTAACTTTCTCAGAGAATGTAAGCATAAATCTGTCAAATGTTTCAAAACAGCCTTGTTTCACTGAAATAGCCTCAAAATCACAAACTGCCATTAAGAGTCAGATTCTTAACGAAATCTACTAATACAAAGTACTTCATTATCTACTTTTCAGCTTTTAAATACAAACTTGTATCTTTCAGTAACTTTCTCAGAGAATTTAAGCATAAATCTGTCAAATGTTTAAAACAGCCTTGTTTCACTGAAATAGCCTCAAAATCACAAACTGCCATTAAGAGTCAGATGCTTGACGAAATATACTAAAACAAAGTACTTCATGGTAGTGGTCAGCTTTTAAACACAAAAGTGTATCTTTCAGTAACTTTCTGAGAGAATTAAACATACATCTGTCAAATGTTCAAAACAGCCTTGTTTCACTGAAATAGCCTCAAAATCACAAACTGCCATTAAGAGTCAGATGCTTGACGAAGTTATGCTTACCAGACCAAAAATCAAAAAAGATGCATGTGAAAGGGATTACACAAACGCATCTTTTTTGATTTTGGTCTGGTAAGCATAACTTTTAGGGATCCCCCAGATAAACCCCCATGGGCAGTGGAGTCTCCCCCTGTCTTGTCACCTAGATTATTATTTCAGTGAAACAAGTCTGTTTTTGAACATTTGACAGATTTATGCTTAAATTCTCTGAGAAAGTTACTGAAAAGATACACTTTTGTGTATAAAAGCTGAAAAGTAGATAATGAAGTACTTTGTGTCAGTAGATTTCGTTAAGATTCTGACTCTTAATGGCAGTTTGTGATTTTGAGGCTATTTCAGTGAAACAAGGCTGTTTTGAACATTTGACAGATTTATGTTTAATTCTCTGAGAAAGTTACTGAAAGATACACTTTTGTATTTAAAAGCTGAAAAGTAGATAATGAAGTACTTTGTATTAGTAGATTTTGTTAAGAATCTGACTCTTAATGGCAGTTTGTGATTTTGAGGCTATTTCAGTGAAACAAGGCTGTTTTGAAACATTTGACAGATTTATGCTTAAATTCTCTGAGAAAGTTACTGAAAGATACACTTTTTGTGTATAAAAGCTGAAAAGTAGATAATGAAGTACTTTGTATTAGTAGATTTCGTTAAGAATCTGACTCTTAATGGCAGTTTGTGATTTTGAGGCTATTTCAGTTAAACAAGGCTGTTTTGAACATTTGACAGATTTATGCTTAAATTCTCTGAGAAAGTTACTGAAAGATACAAGTTTGTGTTTAAAAGCTGACCACTACCATGAAGTACTCTGTTTGAGTAGATTTCAGCACACAGGGTCTGACAGAAAAAAACATAATGTTTTAAACATTTGACAGATTTATGCTTAAATTCTCTGAGAAAGTTACTGAAAGATACAATTTTGTGTATAAAAGCTGAAAAGTAGATAATGAAGTACTTTGTTTTAGTAGATTTCGTTAAGAATCTGACTTTTAATGGCAGTTTGTGATTTTGAGGCTATTTCAGTAAAACAAGGCTGTTTTGAAACATTTGACAGATTTATGCTTAAATTCTCTGAGAAAGTTACTGAAAGATACAAGTTTGTGTTTAAAAAGCTGACCACTACCATGAGGTACTCTGTTTGAGTAGATGTCAGCACACAGGGTCTGACAGAAAAAACATAAAATGTTTAAGTATCTAATAATATACTATCCACATAATATACTAGTTTAACCCCTACCAAAAAAAACAACATTTAATAATTACATGATATTATAAAATAAAAATAAAAAGTACTTACCAGAGTTTTTCAAGATCAGATACAGGTCAAGAAAATGCATAGAGGAGGTATGGTGCTGGCTCATTAGCCCTCTCACTCTTCTTAGAATGATCCTGTGCAATTTTAGATTTAGAGGACAACTAAAAGTGTAAGGTTTCTTTTTTTTTTTTAAACTAACTCCATCCCCTCGCTTCTCACCTCACAGTGTCTTAATCAACATATAGATTAACATCCCAGGCTTCTCTCAAACCCTCAGATCAAAGGCCAACTCCAGTGTGTGTGTGTGTGTGTGTGTGTGTGTGTGTGTGTGTGTGTGTGTGTGTGTGTGTGTGTGTGTGTGTGTGTGTGTGTGTGTGTGTGTGTGTGTGTGTGTGTGTGTGTGTGTGTGTGTGTGTGTGTGTGTGTGTGTGTGTGTGTGTGTGTGTGTGTGTGTGTGTGTGTGTGTGTGTGTGTGTGTGTGTGTGTGTGTGTGTGTGTGTGTGTGTGTGTGTGTGTTTAATTGTTCTTAAAGGTAGGGGGTAGATCATTTTGGAGAAACCATCTCGAGTGAGCTAGAATTTGAAAGTACACAACCGGGGGGGGAAATCTGCCACTTCCTCACAGAGCCCCTCCTCCAACACACATGAACGTGCACATGACCAAAAGAGGGCACGAGATAAGTTTGTGCACAGATCTTTGGCTGTATGCGTTTGAATCCCGCACTGCTGCTGCTGCATTCGTTTCTTGACTGGCGCTCTGGACGGATGGCGGTAAGTTGTCACAGGCTGATTAAACCCCATTCGAGGCGTCTCTTGCCATTTTTCTTTTTTAAAAAGGTGACTTGGTAAGTGGAAATGACTGTCTTTTTATTTAGTTTGAGCATATTTCTATCTTCATCTAATTCCACCCCCCACTATATGCTGGCGTCATAGCCACAGGAAGGGGTGGAGAAAAGGGGGGAGAGGCCTGGGCTGGGAGGGGGCGGGTAGACAGTCTCACGCATAACTTCAAAGAGACACCTAGATTAACATCAAAGGCTTATAACACACCAGTGTGAAGTCACACCTGCCTGTTATAACACCTCACATCAAAGGGCAAAGACCAAAGGCTAATTAGATTAGACAACAAAGGGCTCTGAGGGGCAGGGGCCAGACATCATAACTTCAAAGAGACACCTAGATTAACATCAGAGGCTTATATCACACCTACCTGCTATAACACCTCACATCAAAGGACTAGACTACAAAGGGGTGTGAGGGGACAGGGGCCAGACAACACAACTTCAAAGAGACTTAATCAACACATCAAAGAATTAGACAACAAAGGCGCTACCCAGGGGGCTTTTCACACCTACCTGTTATAACACACATCAAAGGATCTCGAACAAAGGGAGGCGGGACTTAGCTCATTAACATAATTGTACCCCCCCCACATCAAAGGATCTCGAACAATGGGAGGCGGGACTTAGCTCATTTGCATAATTGGGGGCGTGTCCACCTGTCACTTTCCATGCATACTAATGTGACGAAAGGGGTATGTGTACTACTACTCACATTGACTCAGGCAGTCCATAAATGTCAACCTCCAAGGTTCTGGTGGTGGTGATGGTCAGAACACAGCTGATCTCCATTCAGTGTTTGTTGCTGAGCAAGATGGATGGCTTGAATTCGCCAACAAATTATAAAATGTGTTTCTTTGCCCATAAATTGAAAAACTACTTGACCTTTTCTTCTCGTCTCCTTGCTACACGTTATAGGAGAATGCATATATAGGTGCAGGCACGAGTTCTAAAACCTGGCAATGAGTTAGCATTTTACCAATTCAGGTTACCTTGTCTCAAAGTCAACAGATGTGTGATCACGTTATTGTAAAGATAGAAATAAGTTCTGTGGTTACACCTTAAAAGATGTTCACGTTTAGGTATGGGACATAAAATATGTCAGTAAATACCCCACTAGTGAACGTCTGAATCTTCTATGTGTCATGAAGACAACCGTTGCTTGCAATTGCGTATATGAAACTGCTAAACGTCATCACTCCGAATATTAGCCACCTGTAGCTTAGTAGTGTTCACATAAACGTTAGCTTTTTACTTCTGGCAATTGCATCTAGACTTAAAAAAATCATACAAATTGTTAATATGAGCAGAATATCCTGCAGGAGAACATATCTTAGCTAATCAGGTCATACACCACCTGAAGTGTTAGCACATGGTAAACGTGAGTGTGAGTGTGTGCCCCCCAGGGGATCATCAGTAAATACTACTAATGTGAACCTCACTACTTCACTTAACATTTGATAGTGACCTTAATGAACTAAATACCCAAATACGATAATGTGAACTTTAGCTAAATAGTTTCAGACCAAAGACCAAAGACAAACAGGGGCTATGATGTCATCCTCACATAATATCCTGTACTAATATGAGGTTTGAAGGCTTTAAAGAAACACTTTTGATGGTGTTCGACTGTGAATATCCCGCAGGGACCTTCAAGCCAACCCAAATTAACTTAATCCATTTAGATAATAAGGCTATGAGGTTCAAATTGTTCCGACTGTAAACAATTCCCAAAGGAAAAAGTGTTAATCTGTCTGTCAAAAGTGTTTGACTTTGATTTCAAATAACCTGTGGTATGCACCAAAGTCTCCAATCCATCTGAAGATTAAAAAAAATGTTTTACTCAAACAAGACTGAATTATATTTTGTTATGAACTATTAGGGTTAACTACCTTGGCAAAGGAGGTTTTATTTTTGGTTTGGTCTGAATGTTTGTCAGGATTACGAATAAACAACAAGCGTAGGAAGTTGTTGCACAGGCAATAGTAAAACTCGATACATTATGGATCAGAATGATGGGGGCGTAGACAAAAAAAGTCTTATCTTTTGACATAAACATGTATTCCAATATGTTTCCTATTACTGTTGTAATTTCCCAAATCAGTTTAAATATCCTTGATTACACAAACAATTGTATAAATCTGCATCGTTAAAGCAATATAACTGTTTCCATGCTAACAGGTGATGGACTCCGGCGAACAGGGTCTCTTTGGTGACCTACAGACCACTGTATCCACCATTGCCATGACAACCACCTCCGCCTCCTTGGCGCCCCAAAAGGACAGTCGCCATGGACATCATCAGGTAAGCTGCTGCATATTTGTTACTTCAAACTCATTTTGCGTGTTTGAGTCGACGTGTTTCCAGAACCAGTGGTCACCCGGATTGTTTCCATCAGCCGGTATTTGACAACCTTTGAACGAAAAAATCTGTTCAAGTTCAAGAAATGAAAATGCCCGCTGAAAAACTAGAGTTTATGTTTTTGTCTTTTTCTTATTTTCACAGCAGTAGTTTTAGAATTATAGAGATATAATTACCTTCACTCAAAAATGAAAGAGCTGTGTTGTCTCACTACAGGTTGCCTTGGGGACGGACATCCCGGACTATAATCACATGACGTTGCCGCTGGGAGGCGGTCACAATGCCACAGCAGCCCAAATGAGGCACTTCTGCCGCAGCTATGAGTTCCAGCTTCCCCCACAGCCCCCCTCCATGTCGCCTCCCCTCCCACCTCCCTCCACCGTGCAGTTCTCCACCCTGGGCCCAGGAGGGCGCCACGTCTATTGCAACATCCCTATGACACTGCTGAATGGACAGGTGGGTGAAAAAGACAGGATCAATAATTGTGTTTGCAATTCCTAGCATCCAACACCTACAAAGTGTATCCTTTCCTTGAATGTCCATGCTTTTGTTTGCATGTCCTATCAAATTAAAAATAAAAACCCTCTTTTCTCCCCAGGGGTTCAAAGCTGTTCACTGGGGAACAAGAGGTCTGTTTGGATAAAAGCAAATGTAGAAAGAAAATAGTATATTCATATTATCCAATCTAAAACATGTATTTATTTTTAACAGACTGGGAAATAGCTGTCATATGCAGTAATACAGTGAGCATGGTGCACTTCTGGCATGCATTAGAGCTTTGTATTAATGCAGCCTGTGTTTTAATTGTATATGTTTGCCAGGAGTAGTTGTTTTAAGGAGATTCCTACTAATCACCGTTGTGCTGTGTTTTTTTCAGGGGCATCAGAGCAGTACGCTTGGGAAGAAACCAGAACTCCACATGAACAGCACCTTTGTACCTCTCACCAGCAGAGAACTAAGCTCTGACATTTGGTAGAGGGACTGCTCAACTGGTACCGGATTACAGACTGTTTTAACACTGGATTTGGTAAAGGTTTAGACCGGTTCCTTATTGGGTGTTTGGACTGTGTACAGCCTTGTTTCTAAGGAGGGACTGCTTAGGGAATGCCTGCAGACTATATTTGAGAAACTTTATCCCACGCCATGAAGAAAGGACTGCCTGAAGACTGCATAAACCTTGGATTCTCAATGGTTGGATTAAATAGCTGCAGACTTCTCACAGACAAGCAGATTCATCTTTTAAAACTGATTGTACACTGGTTCTGGACAACTGGGTACGGACTGATACAATGACTGGTTATACACTTTGGACCTGTGCAGAGATTTTCTAGACAGTTATGGACATGTGGATGTACAAATGGGAAAATGTCCAGGATACTCAAACAATGGTATCGACAAACAGGAGTGCTCCTACCAAGTTGGACTTTGGAGCACAAAAAAAAACATCTCAAATTACCATCTGCTCACGGACCAGCTGTTGATTAATCAACTGCTTAAGTTCTCGTAGATGCCGCTCAATGTAGCGCAATCTCAGAATGCCGATGGATCTCTCAGTGGAGCTTGCAGTAAATCCATCTACTTGTTGACTAGTTGGCATGTCAGTATACAAGGCAACATTCAAGCAATGATTTTGGAATACCAGTCCACCTTAAAACAACAAGTCAACCTCTTGAAAAGCTATTCCTAGCTAGCTAGCTAGCTACCTGGTTTGTTTTCCTGGAATCTAAAATGGTTGACTTAAAATAAATGGATTCCAGCAGGAATATCAAGATAAGAAGCGATCCGTGGAGCAATTGCTGAACTGTATAACTGAGAAAGCACACTTAGCAGGTATATATGGAAAAATAACTAGTTGCCTCTGAAAGGCTAGTTAGTTCTCGAGCTAAAAGCACCAGGAGACTGCTAACACGCCAGCTCACCTTGTAACACAGCAATCAGCAAGTAGTCAACTCATCAAGAGGTGAGCTGGCCAAGAGGTAACCTTTAACCACCAAGCTAAAAGCAAAAAGGACTTGGCTTTTTCTATTTGCATGACCATCCATTTAGATAAAAAAAATAATCAAATAAATATAGATAAGAGTAAACAACACAATCATTTCTCGCAGCCTCTTTTAATAAGGGGAAGGATAAATGTATTTTGTTGATACAGTATTGTTTTCTGTCCGGCCATGAAGTAAAGATAGAAACTGATAAAGGGAAAAAAGGAGGTGTCCCTCCAAAAGCATTTTTTTAGTTTTAGGATTTTATGTATTTAGACGGTTGGTCACTATTTTAACCAGTCTTTGTTTTTAAATGTTTGTTACAATAATCTCTGTACAGCTTCCATAACTTATGCATAGACATATACATGACAGTGATTTGTTCCCTACAATTTATGTTAACTCCCACAGTGTGTGAGACCCAGAGCCTTTTATTGCTTTCATTCTGTTCCTCTTTTCATCCATGGATGGATGGATGGATGGATGGATGGATGGATGGATGGATGGATGGATGGATGGATGGATGGATGGATGGATGTTAGATAGATAGATAGATTGATGGATTGGTGGGTAGATGGATGGACGGATGGAGGGTTGGGTGGGTGGATCGATAGATACATGCTGTTAATGGATGGGTGGTTGGGAGCATGGATGGATAGATAGATAGATAGATAGATACAAAGATCAATGGATAGTTGGTGGTTGGATGGATTGTGGGTTGATAGATCAATGGGTGGATGGATAGATAAAGAGGGTTAATGGGTGGGTGGAAAAATGGAGGGATGAATGGGAGGTTGGAAGGTGGATGGATGGTTCGATAAATAGGGTTGTTGGGTGGATGGAAGGATGGATAAATAGTAGGGGTGTAACGGTATCCGTATTCGTCCCGTACCGTCACGGTTCGGACGTCACGGTTCGAAACATGCAGTCACACGGCGAATACGCCTTTTTTTACGAGTGGGAAAAAAGGCTGTCACTCAGGGCAGTATTACACTATATATAATCCAGGTATTGCGCCTAAAAGCCAGCCGCCCGTAAATAATAAATGAAGAACAAGAACAAAACACAACAAAACGAACACAATACATGAAGAAGAAAAGTTAGTAGCTATGGCGAGTTCACACAACACACAGGAGCTAGAAGACCCACCTGCTTCTTTTAAATCAGGTGTGTGGGAACATTTTGGGTTCCCTGTGGACTACAACAATGATGGGGTGCGTGTTGTGGATCGGACGAGGACGGTGTGTTGGCGTTGTTCGACAGCGGTGCGGTATGCTAGTGGTAACACGTCAAACATGCTCAATCACATCCGAGTCAGTCTCAGTCCCCAGCGAGAGGGTTTTCTCGACGGCAGGTGACATAGTTACCGCCAACAGATCTGCCCTCACTACTGACAACGTAGACAAACTGATCTTTTTGAAGAACAACTTGAAAATAGAGTAAAGCTTGAGTACCTTTATTTAGGCATAATGGCCTCACACACTCATAAGTTAATTACACATGTTAGACATTGCTCCTAAAGGTACAGATTTTATTTTGTTTTATATTTATCATTGTATTTATTTTATATTTTGACATCAGGAGATGTTATACAGTTCTGTATTGCCTTTTATTGATTGTGATTCAAACACTTTCTTATTATTTATTTAAATATTTTCAAGACATTCTTTTTAGTTGTACAGCTTATTTAACCTTTTTGTTTGACATCAGCCAATATAAATAATATGGCCATCTGAGTGTGTGTTACTGTTTGTGTTTTTTTTTTAACTGTGTAATACAGTTAATGATTCCAAATGTTAGAGTTCCTTATTTTCATACCAAAACTTGCACTACTGTTAAAAAAAATGCATTTGGGACTTTTTTTTGCTTTTCCTTGTTGTACCGAACCCGTACCGAACCGTGACCCCCAAACCGAGGTATGAACGGAACCGTGACTTCTGTGAACCGTTACACCCCTAATAAATAGATAGATTGGTTTAGGACAGATGGATGATTGATGGTTGGATTGTGAATATATTGGTGGATGGTGGGAGAATGGATACATAGATTTATGGGTGGATGTGATGTGGATGCGATGTGGATGGATGGATACATTTATGGGTGGATGCGGTGTGGATGAATGGACGCAGTACTAACGACCTGATGTTTTGATCCTGACACTCTGGAAACCAGACCCTAGCAGTCAGCCGAAGGGGCTTCGCTGCACACAGAGCCGGACTCCAAGCTGAACCACATTCTTCTTTGTGAGCTTTAAGAAACCAAGACTACTACCATAATATTTAAGCGAAGTGAATAATGTTTTGAATTTACACAAAGGAACTGTCATTGACTTATTAGAACCAATGAATTCTGGATATTTGAGATTGTTTGATACAATAATTAATTATTTTAGTTGTTATATTCGATGGCAATATATAGTATAGTGGTTGTCTTTTGATTTCTGCTAATTTGTTTAAATATTCTTTGGATATATTGGTTGAAATACTTTAACTGAGAGCAAATAAAAATTATATGAGTTGTTTTATACATCTTGGATGACTGTCGTCTGATGAAACTCTTTATTTCTGTTTATTGTTTTCCATGTTCCCCTTTGCTGATTTAATTTGTTGTATCTTACTTAACCAGACACTCTACAGGCTGTTTCCTCATTCTTTCTTCCAAATGTCTTATTCTTACTGTCTTTGGCTCTTCATGCTATTTTTAGGCAATAGCATAGGTCTCAGATATATAAAAAACAAGTGTTTTGCTCAAAATACCAAACAGATCACCCATTCTAGCCATGCCTCATATCCCTCTATTTCACTTCCTGTTTCAAAAATGCTGATTTTGGGTATAAAGCTTTTTTTTTTTAATTATAAAAAAGAGGGGCGGAGCTTATGCCTGCTCATGCGGGAGATTCTACCGGCAGATACTGCCGTGATGAAACGCCATATCATGGATTATCAAGGATTATTTCTGAAACAGTATGGAGCTCAAAGGCTTTCTCTCTTGCCGGTTATACCACAAGGTGAGTTCCTTTTTATTTCCTGCTTCTTCACACACATGCTCTCTCCAGTACAGGTTAGCTCTGAGTGTAAACACCGACCATATTACATCCAAAACAGTCAGGCATTGTTTCTGATGGCAACGTTTCTGATAATGCTGTGGGTCTGCATTGCCGATATGACGTCATATCAGACGCAAATCTGGATCAGCTCCGTTGTACCCCGCGTTTTTAGAGATTTGGGTACGGAGGAAAAGAGAGAGGGTTTTATTTTCTGACGCTCCATGAGTTCCCTGACACACCGGGGACCATATTTATGTATAAAAGACATCACAAAGTGAATTTTGCATGATAGGTCCCCTTTAAAGAATATTGCCAGACTCCGACCGTCACTCTCGGAGTCTATTGCAAAAACCTTAATACATGCATTTGTCACCTCCCGCTTGGACTACTGCAATGGTGTCCTGTTCGGGGTACCCAACAAAGTTATTAGTGTGAATGCTGTTTACAGCATTCCACTATAGGGCTTAAAATCTTTAATCCCCTTATTATTATTTCAGCCAATACTTTGGCACTCCATAACTTCAGCTTATTTTCAGCTACAGAAACCATTCAAATATTAAACTATTCAGCCTGTTCAGGAATCGATGGGAAACATTCAACTTTTTCAAAATATGTTATACTTTTTGAAATATTCAGCTTTTTAAACTCTTTTTTTAACATTGAAGTCAATGGGAGATGCCTTCAAATCCTGTTTTCCTACACCTTGCGCCAAATGCTACTCCTTCCACATACTTTCAGCTAGACACTTCATTCTAACTTTCAAATGATCACAAGACCTTCAGCTATTCAATTCCTATTCAGATTTTTGATATCTTTTAAACTTTGAGATATTGAATTTAGTTTGGAGCTTGGTAGAGAGGCCTTTTTCAGAATTTAACATTGGAGTGGATGGAGCAGCTCGTTAAGTCTAGAGTACTTTGATCTCAAAACAGAGTGCAGGACAGCTCAAAATTCTCCCCCAAAAATATTTTAAACTTGCCATAATTCCCAAACCCTATACTCCTCAGACATATTTTTTCATGAAAAACGTAGGAAAACCTCTCCTAGCTTGGAAAATAAAAATAAAATAAGAAAAAATATTAAACAAAATGCCACTTGAGGGCATGAAGAGAGAAAAAGTCCAGCTAGCTCCCAATTGATTCCCATGTTAAATTGTTCTGAATCTTTCTTCAGAGCAGAGAGAAGTACACTTTAGACAAACTGCTCCCATCTCCACATTTTACACACAAAACCCAAACAAAAAACATATTTCAGTTCATTGGGGTTCGCTGATGCTCACAGTCTGGTAATTTTTTTATAAGAGCCATAGTTTTTGAACAGGTGGCAAAATTGTCAGATATAATCCCCAATGCATTCTTATGGGACTCAGTGCTGCAGTTGGTTGTCATGGTGTTGCCGGGCAGATTGGAGCCACACACACGTGAGCGACATCATCAGAGCAGACACCATGGAAACCTTTTTAAAGTGTTTTTTTAACATGAAAGTTATTGCAATGCATTTGAGCTGTAACAATTAACACACACACTCTCTCACACACACATACACACACGCATTCTCTCTCTCACACACACAAACACACAGACACACACACATGTGAGGGACATCATCAGAGCAGACACCATGGAAACCTTTGATCTCTGGGTTTACACAAACAGGTGTTTGTAAACATTCATTCACTACTACTTACATTTAATATCTTTATTTAACTCCTTCAGCCTAACACAGGCACACACACAAACACACACACAGACACGCTCTTTCAAACACAGACACAGACAGACAGACAGACAGACAGACAGACAGACACACACACACTCTAACACACACACACTCAAACACACACACACACTCTCTCTCTCTCTCAAACACACACACACAAACACTCTCTCAAACACAGACACACACTCTCTCAAACACAGACACACACACAAACACTCTCAAACACACACACACACTCTCTCACACACACAGACACACACTCTCAAACACAGACACACACACAATCTCTCTCACACACACACACTTTCTCAAACACACACACACTCTCTCACACACAGACACACACTCTCAAACACAGACACACACACAATCTCTCTCACACACACAAACACTCTCTCACACACACACACACTCTCTCAAACACACACACACACTCTCTCACACACACAGACACACACTCTCAAACACAGACACACACACACAATCTCTCACACACACACACACACACACACACAAACACTCTCTCAAACACACACACACTCTCTCACACACACACACACACACTCTCAAACACAGACACACACACACACACTCTCAAACACACACACACTCTCTCTCTCGCCATAGTTTTTGAACGGGTGGCAAAATGGTCAGATATACAACTCAATGCATTCTTATGGGACGCAGTGCTGCAGTTGGTTGTCTTTGATCTCTGGACACACACCCAGGTGTTATGATTGGGTGTTGTGAGTAGGTGCTCAGGAATA